TTTTTTTTTTTTTTTTTTTTAGCAGAAATGTAGAAGTCTTTTGTGAAGTGATGTGGAAGTACTTTCGAAATTTTCTGAAGCTCCGATAAGTGGATTGTGTATGATGCCCTACGGGTCTCTACTGGTGTTCAGTTTCAGCTGGACAATATGATATTACTTGCATTCAACGAAGAAGTTAGCAGCTGCAGGATAGATTTCAATTTCAATTTTCAACGCATTAAATCCACCGTTTCTTTTAAAATTTAATTTCGCGGAGGATATTATTTTCTTAATTTTGCATTTTAATAGAACCCGTGAATATTATATTGTTATCACAATTCAGTTTCACATTATAATTATAATTCCGCTGCTTCAACTCTTTAATTTCAACTTGATTCCCAATTATTATTCAAGTTTCACTCAAAGTGAAATTTCAACGAAATTAAACGGAATTGAAGCGAAATTGTACGAATATAAAATTAGTATTTTTTATACACGTGAATTTAGAAGTAATTGATCATTTGCAGCTTGGAAAATCGGTATATAATTTCGAATGTGTTTCAATGAGAGTTCGAAAAAATACACGAATTACATTTTTTCAAAATATTTTAGAATTAATAAGAACTGCGTGATACGATTTTCTACATATATGAAAATATAGATAAATTTTAAATTATAGTTTTTTAATATATATATAATTATTATTATTATAGTATATTAGTTTTATTATTATTATAGTATAATTATTATAGTATAATATATATTATTATAGTATTTTAATATATATATAATTTAAATAAATTAGTTGTACTCAGAAATGCATACTTAGAAACATCGAACTTTGGAAACACGTAGTCCTGCTCGAAAGTAATTTGCTTCAAAAATTTGCCAATATTTAACTTTCCTTCCACCAAACCAAGCAGAATATTCAAATCGAAAGCAAGCAATTAAAATAAAATTCCCAACGGGAAGAAAAATAACACACTGTACAAAAGTCATAGATTCAATTACAATTTCTGAAGTATAGATTTAAAAAAATAAAAAAAAGAAGAGCAGAGAAAAGCAATCATAAAAATTGCCGGTTATTGACCGAAAAAGTGTTCTTCTAAAGAATCGAAATGAAAAGCATTTTCCAAGTTATACTACTGAATGCAGAAAGGCACATTTAAACTTGTATGTAATTATCGCGGGATAGTGTTAAAAAACATATCTTTTTTATAGTCTTATTAACATAGTATATTTATGAGTCAAACGAATTTTAATTATAAAACTGCATCATTGTTTTTTGACATTCATTTAATATCGTTCAATATTTATGTAATAATATTCGAAGGAAATACGTAGTACTATAAGTATTATATTTATAAAAAACAATTTAAAAAGTCCCTTTTTTACTGTGACAAATTTGTTGATCTTTGAATACTTTAATATCTTACAATAATAAGTTATAATAATTGAATACTTTATATAAATCTAAAATGCTATTTCGTTTCGTCGAAGTTTTAATATATTTCCAGAAGAGTTGTTGCAACACCGTCAATTTTGAAGATAGAGCGAGGAAATTCATAGAATATGATTAACAGTTACACTTGAAATGTCCTGGACATCCTCGCTGCATCCAACGGTTACATTGTTCTCGACTAGACACGAAAGAGAATGTACGGTTAGGTTTCTCAAAAACGGGAAAAGAGAAAGAAAACAGAAGACGGAGGGAAGAATAACTATTTATCACGCTGCTTTCGTTCGCCCCTCCCTCCCCATCTCCCGATATCTTATCCGTTTCTTTCATTCTCTGGCTGCCACGGTTCTTCCTCCCTTCTTTTTTCTCCAGCCGGCGGAGCACGGGTGCGTACTTAAAGAATAGACGGCCTTATTTCTTATTCCATGATCCGCGGGCAGGCTAACAAAGAGGCAGCGGAGGATACGTTACTCCGCCAGGAATAAGGGAAAGCTCTGTCCCACGCTTAATTTTCCTAATGGATTAGCCGGAGCTAGTTCAACAGCCACCGCGAGATAGAAAGGATTCTGTTCGCGCTTCTGTACGTCCGCGGGTACGTTTCATTCTCCGCGCTCGTTTTCTTGCACCGTCGCGCCATCATCGCCACCAACCGGGGCTCGGCTCCCTCAGTTTTTCCTCCCGTCGTTCCCCTAACCCGGGGAACCGAGGCTCCTTTTTGGCCGATACCTGAGAAACTGCTCGTCCACCCACTCCGTTGTCTTTGTTCACTGACAGAGACAAGAGCCGTCTCTCCTCGGATCTGTTCGCGTTTCTCAACACGTCTCGCCGTTTTACGTTGTTACCGCGAATTGGGAGAAAGGGAGAGAAAGAGAAAGATAGGAACGGGAACACGTCCCGACCGCCATTTATTTTTCCACCCTAGGAATTGCGTTTCGTTTGTAAGGTCGAGCCTCCAACCAGAAGGATCTCGAGCCTCGGTGAATGAACTTCAACGCTAGGTATCTTTTGGAATTAGTGAATTGGATTGATTGGTCCACTAATTGATATGATACATCTTGTGTGGTAGTACATCTTGATATTCGCGATTATTTTATCCAATTGCTTGTTAGACGAGAAATATCACGAAAATAATGTTACTTTCTGAATAATATGAATTTACATAAATATCTATAGCCTGTTGGTGGTTTCAATGTAAGTAGAGTACCGTAGAAGTTGCGAGTAGAATTTACTTGTTCACTCGCAGATTATAGTTATTGCGGCAATCTAATTATCGTGCAAACGACATTTCGATAAGAGGACAATGATAATGTAGCATATGTGCAGATTATAGAATCGTATTTTATAATACGCAGAGAATTGGTCTATCTTGTTACATATTCCGGTGGCTTGCGCTGGTTCTTGTAAACAACCCCTTAGGGGATTATGAGGATTCATGAATTGCAGATTTCCAGGACAAAATCTTCCTCAATTGTTCTTTATCTGACGTGCTATTAACACATTTAACTAAAGACATTTATGTTCTGTAATTGTAAAATATATTATTATTATTTGTCGTCCAGGAGGGATCTAGGGTATGAAGTAAGTAAGAGAAACAGCAGAGGAAAGGAAACGTTTCGCGGGAAGTTCATTAATTCCAAATTCATGACTTTTTCACAAATTCGGAATCGAATCGATTACTTTCACGCCTGTTATTTACATACTAACGAAATGCAAATATTTATAATCATGTACGAGTAGTTAATTTTCAATTAAACTAGCTGAAAATGTACGAGATGACTGCGTCGTCGTTATTATTGAAAAAAGTTTCTAATTAATTTTACTGTGGTTGAAAATTTTTTATCCCCTTCAATAGGGGATAAAAACAATGCTTCTCGTTTCAAATAATCTACTACCTAAAATCCTGATTATTTACGCCTAATATCTAGAATGCAAAAATTTCGAATATTACATAAATAACAGTACTCATTTATAGTTTGTACTTCGAAAAAGCAACGTACGAACTTCTAAGAATTACGATGCTTCGTGACACTCTCAGCCTGTCTTGAGACAACGGGAAGCGATACAGACGGAAGATGACGTCGCGACGTCTTCCTTGATGAACTGACCTTCCCCCGATGGCGTTCCATCAAACGGGGACAAAGCAAAGAGGCCGCAAATTGGCTGCGAACGGGCCACAGCCGTCGCGTCGTTCGGATAAATCAGCGCCGTGGGCTTACGGTCGTCAAATCAATATTTGCAGCTTGCCACCCTCGCGCACACGGACATGGCTGCGGGGTGCAAAGTCAGGCGTGTCGGAATTAGGCGAAGGAGAGGCGAACGACGAAGAAGGAGAAGAGGCGAATCGGACACGGTAGTGGGTCGGTCGCGCGCGCACACACACACACACACACACACACACACACCGAACACTGCTGGCCGAACTGAATTAACTTTTGCACGGCAAATCGTCTGCTAACCGACCGCACGAAATCTGGGTCCGTTCCGATCCATAAGTCGCGATTCATGTTGTAGAGAATGGTTTCTTCGATGTAGATTTTTATTTTCAGCTGTTGTGCAATCGTTGAAGAGTAATGAATGTATTCGTGGTATATAAGTATTGGTTTTCGCTCGTGTTTTTTTTTTGAATTTCACGAATACATTAGAAATCTATTTAGGACTGCAAACCGAGAGTTGTTTTAAATGCTGCAACGTGCAATTTTTGCACAGTATCATCCACGTTTCATTTCAAATATTCCACAAAATTTATTCCAACTTTTAGAAACGAGAGACGAGGACTGAA